TGGTGTCTTCACTAGTCTCTACAGATGGTCTGTGCGGCCGGTGTCTTCACTAGTCTCTACAGATGGTCTGTGTGGCTGGTGTCTTCACTAGTCTCTACAGATGGTCTGTGTGGCTGGTGTCTTCACTAGTCTCTACAGATGGTCTGTGTGGCTGGTGTCTTCACTAGTCTCTACAGATGGTCTGTGTAACTGGTGTCTTCACTAGTCTCTACAGATGGTCTGTGTGGCTGGTGTCTTCACTAGTCTCTACAGATGGTCTGTGTGGCTGGTGTCTTCACTAGTCTCTACAGATGGTCTGTGTGGCCGGTGTCTTCACTAGTCTCTACAGCAGGGCAGTGTGGCTGGTGTCTTCACTAGTCTCTACAGATGGTCTGTGTGGCTGGTGTCTTCACTAGTCTCTACAGATGGTCTGTGTGGCTGGTGTCTTCACTAGTCCCTACAGATGGTCTGTGTGGCTGGTGTCTTCACTAGTCTCTACAGATGGTCTGTGTAACTGGTGTCTTCACTAGTCTCTACAGATGGTCTGTGTGGCCGGTGTCTTCACTAGTCTCTACAGATGGTCTGTGTGGCTGGTGTCTTCACTAGTCTCTACAGCAGGGTAGTGTGGCTGGTGTCTTCACTAGTCTCTACAGATGGTCTGTGTAACTGGTGTCTTCACTAGTCTCTACAGATGGTCTGTGTAACTGGTGTCTTCACTAGTGTCTACAGATGGTCTGTGTAACTGGTGTCTTCACTAGTCTCTACAGATGGTCTGTGTGGCCGGTGTCTTCACTAGTCTCTACAGATGGTCTGTGTAACTGGTGTCTTCACTAGTCTCTACAGCAGGGCAGTGTGGCTGGTGTCTTCACTAGTCTCTACAGATGGTCTGTGTGGCTGGTGTCTTCACTAGTCTCTACAGATGGTCTGTGTGGCTGGTGTCTTCACTAGTCTCTACAGATGGTCTGTGCGGCCGGTGTCTTCACTAGTCTCTACAGATGGTCTGTGTGGCTGGTGTCTTCACTAGTCTCTACAGATGGTCTGTGTGGCCGGTGTCTTCACTAGTCTCTACAACAGGGCAGTGTGGCTGGTGTCTTCACTAGTCTCTACAGATGGTCTGTGCGGCTGGTGTCTTCACTAGTCTCTACAGATGGTCTGTGTGGCCGGTGTCTTCACTAGTCTCTACAGATGGTCTGTGCGGCTGGTGTCTTCACTAGTCTCTACAGATGGTCTGTGCGGCTGGTGTCTTCACTAGTCTCTACAGATGGTCTGTGTGGCTGGTGTCTTCACTAGTCTCTACAGATGGTCTGTGTGGCTGGTGTCTTCACTAGTCTCTACAGATGGTCTGTGCGGCTGGTGTCTCCTGCTACTTGACCTCACTACATCATCCTCCAGTGATAATCTAGTGATCCCATTGGAAGCTATAGTAGATGTGAATTTTTACATTGCACAATTATTTTGGAAGGAATGAATTGGATGGTAATGTGTTTCAGTGTTCATATTCACAACACACTCTTGCCTGATAGGGAGTGATGAATAGGCCTCTATGGCAGGATGTCTTAGAACATAGACCACTGTGAATGAGACGAGGGGGGTGGAGTGTGAGGGCTGAATAGGAGTTGATACCAGAAATACTTTTCATATTCTTCCCCCTCAGTTTCAGTCAGCTAGACCAGGGTTTCGGTCCTGGGCCCCCCGTTTAGGTTTTTGCCCTACACAGCTGATTCAAATAATCAAAGCTTGATAATGAGTTGGTTGTTTAAATCAGCTGTGTAGTGCAAGGGCAAAGAACAAAACGTGCACCCCGGGGGCCCCAGGACCAACCTTAGGGACACCCTGAGCTAGGCAAATGTCCTGTTTGAATAATGTGAAAATGTATCATTGTTGAATGTTTCCCCTCTTCAATGAAACATGTCGATGACCTGACATGACTGGATTGGTGTAAGATATTGAGTGTTGCCCAAATGACACCCTATATAGTGCACTTCTTTTGACCAGAGCCATATAGGCACTAGGTTGCCATTTGGGACACATAATTGTTTCAGGAAGGCCGTGCCCATATTTCATGCCATACAATAACTTGTAAACGATAATCAATAGCCTAAATATCGTCAAACAAAAGAACACGCGGACTCAGTGAAGATACTCAGTTCATTTTTGTTTATTTCAATGGCTCATCTGATAAAAGAAACCCCTTTATCTTTCCGTGTCACATTAACAAAGACTACAAAAACACCCTTACAAAAATAGTGGGACATTTCTGGTGTCATTTCATTGGACAAGTAGTGTGGTTGTTTGCTATCAGCACAGTTCTGTGTACATAGAAAGAATGCACAGTATCGCTATAGCAATACGTACTGTACGCCAGTCAAGGCTGCAATTTGCAACATCGTCATAGTGTTCAGAGCTCTCTGCTTTCTGGCAGCAAGGATCAAGGTTGAGTCAAATCACACAATAATGTCAAGGAATAAGTTATAAAAGATGCACCAGTGGTGAGAGCTAGACAGTGATGGCTGTGAGAGAAGAGTTCTAGCCATAGAAACAGAACACAACATTCTAATGCTATGGTTCTACCAACAAAAAACATATTGCACCTCGAGACCTCAGTGAGAAGTAGCTTTTTAGTGAGGGAAGAGCGAGTTCTTTATCTAAAACGGTCGTATTCAAAATGTCACACCGTAGCAAAAATGTTTTGCAACAGAAAACAAGCTTTCTTATTGGACAAGCTCATGTAGTCCCTCCCTGTTTGTCAGTCTTCTTCCGTTTGGTGCCTAATGAATATGACCCAGTACTCCACACCGACTGCATCCATCTTTATTAACACAGGAAGAACAGGAGTAAATAAAATCCACTTAAAATAATAGGAATGTAAAACAACAAACTGTACAAAGTTAAAAGGCAGAATCCTTGTGTCTATAAAAAGTAGTGATGACCGTACAGTGAGTGGGATTAACATAGTTCAGAAGAGATCAGTCAGGAAGATGCATTTGGTTGCTAGTAACAACATACAGTAGTCTACAAAGCCCTTCATTCCATTTGTAGTAAAATACTATCTAGACTACATTAAGTTATGTTTATGCTATAAAAGTTTAGACACACATTTCAGATGCTTGCCAGATATCTTGCTTAAGAAGGCTTCATACAGTGTTCAATGAAATACTCTGATATCTAAGCCTAGAACATTGAGAATCAGAACATACATGTTCTGAGAACCAGAACAGCCTTAGTAGTATCGGCATAGTTCCAAGTCTGAAAACTGCTGGGGACGAGGTACAACCATAGTCAAATATACACATTCAAAAGGATACCGACAGAGAAAAGGACCAGAAGTTAACACTGTTGCAGATAGAAATGTGATTTATAGAGCTTCCATTATTCCCTGCTCTACACAAGATACCCATAGCTGATCTAAAACAGCACATTTCTATCTTAACATTCTTCTGAGTGAGCCCCTGATTTAGATTTTCAGCCATCGCCACAGTAACCAGCGAGACCGCCTGTGACCCAGACGGGGAATCTGGACGTGTTTACGTTCCAGCGTTCCAACAGGAAGTGGAAGTTTGGGAAATGCAGCGCTGGAAATGTGGGAAGCAATTAGTGATGACAAGCTGCAGATGGGCTGTGTGTTTCATCGTCCGCAAGGTCACGGATTCCACCAGGATGCAAACGTACTGTGTTTATATATCTTGGTATATTATTTAAAAGGCAGGTCCTCTTCCTCTGAGAGACGTAGAGACGTGAGAAACCCTCCTGGGTGCCATGCTAGCATCTACTTAAAGCACACTCAACAGCACAGAGTAAGACGACAGCTGATTGGGTAACCTCAGCCTAACAACCTGAGCCTGAATATTCAGTAGCTATACAAGGCAAAAAAATATGTTAATTAAAAAATAAACAATGTGTTTCACGCTGGTATAAAAAAAAACTAACTTAACCAAGGAATAGAAAATAAACCACCAAGGAATAGAAAATAAAGCAACAACTAACAAATGTCAATATAAATAAAAAGCTACGGCACATTTCAATGGCATCGTTTTCAAGTAATCTGTTACATCAAGTCCCTGATATACACGGTGGTTCATGGAAACAAGACTAGTCTTCAACTCACGCAGAAGGCAGCTACATTTTATTATGTACACTTCAAAGTTCCAAGCATAGAATTAGAATCTCTCTCTCAAGGAGGGAAGATGGAAGGAGAGAAACATGATAGGTATGTTAACTGTGGATTTCCCCTGCTGTGACAGAACAATGAACTCTGTGGCCTCCCCTCCCCATCCAGAGAGGATTATGGGTAGGAATTCTCAGAGGACCCCTGTAGCACTTAAGTGACATAATCCCTTTATTCACTGGCATAAAAGTCATAAAGCCTTTATATACTGACATAGCAAGTGACATAGCCTCAACTCACTGGTATGTCTACTTATAACACTTCATACCACTGTTCCCAAGTCAGCAGCTCAAGGTGTCACTTTACTGATCCATTTCTCCTCTTCAGTTGAGTTAATATTTTTTGGATTACAGTGAGAGCGATCCAGCAGCACTTAATCTTCAACCAGCTGAATTCACAGACAGCCAACACACAGGATGCACTGAGGAGGAATCATGCTGCATAGCCTCTGGTTCACAGTGATAACAACAGTATCTCAACCAGGGACATACGGTGACTATTCTACAGTGTTAATGCTACTGCCTTGGCATCATGTTCCTGTGACGTGATCGGAACACAGTGTTCAACATCAAGTCAGTGACATCAGGTGTCATGTCAGTGTGATGACCTCCACGGGGTCATCGGTGCCCTTTGACCTTTGCTTGCGTTTGAGCAGTCTTTCTCTCCGTCTCTGTCTGAGGGTGGGGGGCGCGGGGCGGGGGGCGGCCGAGGAGGGGGACGGGGTGCTGACGGAGAGAGAGAGGAGGTCCGCCAGGGAGCGGAGAGGAGGAGGAAGAAGTGATGGAAGAGGAGTGCAGCGCTCCCTGTCCCTGGCTCGGGGTGGTTTGCTGTTCATCCTCTCCTCCGTCTCCTGGCGTCACCTGTCGAAGCAGCCCGCTGCCGTGAAGCCCACGCCCCCCAGGTACCCCCCGCTGTAGGCCATGCTGAGGCAGTGTCGCGGCTCCGCTGCCAAGGCTACCTGTATGGAGATGGGGCCCTGCAAGGCCAGCGGTGCCACCCGAGCCCCAGGCTGGAGCCCCGAAGTCAGGCTAGGATAGGAGGGGAAGGCCCTTGCTGTGGAGGTCATGGTGGTGGCCCCAGTGAGCAGCCCCATCCTGTGGCTCTGGAGGAAGTCCTGGGACATGTTGACCCCAGCAGGCTCCAAAGCCTGGGAGTCCGCTAGCGCGTGGAGCTGGGACAGGGAGGGGGAGAGGTGTGGGAAGCCCACTGGGCCGGGCTGGAAGAGGAGCTGCTGGGAGGTGGAGGTGGAGGAGGTAGCTGGTCTCTGGATGGCTGGGACCGGGGAGAGGTGAGAGGGAGGAGGGTGGGACTGGAGAGAGGAGGAACGAGACAACGGAGGGGTGGATTTGGGTTTGTTGGCCTCCTTCACATCACTGTCATGGGCACTGTGGAGAAGAGGGGGAGAGACGGGAGGTAGAACAAGACATTTGTTATTATCTGAGAAAGCAGACAGTGGATTGTCATGTTTTTACAGTTAACCTACGTGAGCAATGAGAGAATTAGCATGGAGTTTGGCTCGGTCAAATGCATACGAGTATGTCTGTGCATACAAGCATGCAATTGCACTCAGGTGTGTGTGTCTGCTCTGTGTGAGAGAGACAATGCAGCATGAGTTTGATGCATTGGGTGAGGTGCTCCCAGGTGTGTGTGTGTGTGTGAGTGAGTGAGTGAGTGAGTGAGTGAGTGAGTGAGTGAGTGAGTGAGTGAGTGAGTGAGTGAGTGAGTGAGTGAGTGAGTGAGTGAGTGAGTGAGTGAGTGAGTGAGTGAGTGAGTGAGTGTGTGTGTGTGTGTGTGTGTGTGTGTGTGTGTGTGTGTGAGTGTGTGTGTGTGTGTGTGTGAGTGACAGAGAGAGACTTACAGCAGCATGAGTTTGATGCACTGGGTGAGGTGCTCCCAGGTGTGTGTGTGTGTGTGTGTGTGTGTGTGTGTGTGTGTGAGTGAGTGAGTGACAGAGAGAGACTTACAGCAGCATGAGTTTGATGCACTGGGTGAGGTGCTCCCAGGTGTGTGTGTGTGTGTGTGTGTGTGTGTGTGTGTGTGTGTGTGTGTGTGTGTGTGTGTGTGTGTGAGTGACAGAGAGAGACTTACAGCAGCATGAGTTTGATGCACTGGGTGAGGTGCTCCCAGGTGTGTGTGTGTGTGTGTGTGTGTGTGTGTGTGAGTGTGTGTGTGTGTGTGAGTGAGTGAGTGACAGAGAGAGACTTACAGCAGCATGAGTTTGATGCACTGGGTGAGGTGCTCCCAGGTGTGTGTGTGTGTGTGTGTGTGTGTGTGTGTGTGTGTGTGTGTGTGTGTGTGTGTGTGAGTGACAGAGAGAGACTTACAGCAGCATGAGTTTGATGCACTGGGTGAGGTGCTCCCAGGTGTGTGTGTGTGTGTGTGTGTGTGTGTGTGAGTGTGTGTGTGTGAGTGACAGAGAGAGACTTACAGCAGCATGAGTTTGATGCAGTGTGTGAGGTGCTCCCAGGTGTGTGTGTGTGTGTGTGTGTGTGTGTGTGTGTGTGTGTGTGTGTGTGAGTGACAGAGAGAGACTTACAGCAGCATGAGTTTGATGCAGTGTGTGAGGTGCTCCCAGGTGTGTGTGTGTGAGTGACAGAGAGAGACTTACAGCAGCATGAGTTTGATGCACTGGGTGAGGTGCTCCCAGGTGTGTGTGTGTGAGTGACAGAGAGAGACTTACAGCAGCATGAGTTTGATGCACTGGGTGAGGTGCTCCCAGGTGTATCCAGTCAGTAGGTGTAGAGACGTGGTCCAGCTAGGAGAAATCTGGAGACAGATACGAGACGCCGCTACGCATGCCGCCGCCACCTGAGACGGACGGAAACTCAGGAATGCATGGTCTAGAGGAACACAGACAGACTGTTAGAAATGGTCTAGAGGAACACAGACAGACTGTTAGAAATGGTCTAGAGGAACACAGACAGGCTGTTAGAAATGGTCTAGAGGAACACAGACAGGCTGTTAGAAATGGTCTAGAGGAACACAGACAGACTGTTAGAAATGGTCTAGAGGAACACAGACAGACTGTTAGAAATGGTCTAGAGGAACACAGACAGACTGTTAGAAATGGTCTAGAGGAACACAGACAGACTGTTAGAAATGGTCTAGAGGAACACAGACAGACTGTTAGAAATGGTCTAGAGGCACACAGACAGGCTGTTAGAAATGGTCTAGAGGAACACAGACAGGCTGTTAGAAATGGTCTAGAGGAACACAGACAGGCTGTTAGAAATGGTCTAGAGGAACACAGACAGACTGTTAGAAATGGTCTAGAGGAACACAGACAGACTGTTAGAAATGGTCTAGAGGAACACAGACAGACTGTTAGAAATGGTCTAGAGGAACACAGACAGGCTGTTAGAAATGGTCTAGAGGAACACAGGAGGCTACACAGTCCCTCTATTTCCCCCCCCCTCCATTCTTGAACCTCTCCCCCTGCGCTCTCATTCCTTCACCCCATCCATCACCTCTCCTTCAATCCCTCCATCCACCTCATCACCCCTCACCTTGCAGTGACACCTCCAGGAAGTAGTGTGTGTACTTGTCCATAAAGCCTTTGGTCTTGGAGAGGGAGGAGAGAGGCCAGCCGTTGTACAGGTCTCCCTCCTGCACCGAGGCCTGGAGGTAGTGGTCTATGAAGTGGGCTGGGGTGGGCATACACAGGTTCCAGCTGAACGTCTCCAGCAGCAGCAGCTCCATCTTAATGAGGTCTCTCTTGTTGAGAACAAGGTTCAGAGAACACATGAAGCCCAGGGAGTTCAGCTGCTCCAGCTTAGGTACCCGATCCTCCCTCTCCTCAAACTTACCTACGGGGGAGAGAGGGGTTAGAAGGTAGGCTATACAAAAGCCTTTTAGGGTTGACCCCATTTAGGTCGACTGGTCCATTGTTTGGTCGATAGGCTGTTGGTCGACCGAGATCTTTAGTCGAGCAGTAGCCCCCCCCCAAAAAAAATGGTGTACAAGACACCTGTCTGTTTGGCTCCTGTCTGAGTGGACTGATCCATTGTGGAGGGGGATGGCACAGTCCATCAGTCTAAGACATGTGCTACTGAAATTGTATATGGTTATATTACATAAGAACAATGGTGCAACACTAATACAAATAATATTATTTTATAATAAATGCATTTTCTCCCGTGTTGGATAGTAGTCGCTGTCCACGGTTCTGAAACACATCAGCGCGCTGTTGAATTGGCGCCCTTTCCTAGACCATGTTGATATGTGCATAATAGCAAAGTTAACCAGAATATTGGTGTTGAGAACAATGTGGCGGAGGTAGCAGCAGAATGAGGAGATGAGAAAACAGCCCTCGCCTTATTGTCTAAGTGAGGAGAGAGGAAACCCCAACTTAATTAGGTCTATAATCAATAGCCTAACTGTTAATGTGCCTGGCTTTATAAATCATCAATATATCTACAGAAATAAGACAGATCCTGCTTCTGTTGCCTGTTTGTTTAATAGCCTACTGATTCCGTGAGCACAAAGTCTCACGCAACCACATGTCGGATAAACTTTCACAAATTCGGCTGTTAACCTTTGTTATGCTGTAATAAAGGCTTCACACATTTTTTTCCATAAGACTCTGGTATTATTTATTTATTGTTGTTTACACTGTTCCAAATTGTCCAATTTTTATGTATTTATAATAATAACAACAACCCTCCTTTTTCCTTGATCTCCTTGTTATTATGATTATTAAGATTATTATTATGATCATCATTATAATAATAAGTGATGTCATTATCATTAGTAGGCTTAGTATACAGTGAGGGGGAAAAAGTATTTGATCCCCTGCTGATTTTGTATGTTTGCCCACTGACAAAGAAATGATCAGTCTATAATTTTAATGGTAGGTTTATTTGAACAGTGAGAGACAGAATAACAACAACAAAAATCCAGAAAAACACATGTCAGAAATGTTATAAATTGATTTGCATTTTAATGAGGGAAATAAGTATTTGACCCCTCTGCAAAACATGACTTAGTTTTGACAGGATTTCAGTCCTTCACGGCGTAGCGTGTTACCAATTGTTTTCTTGGTGACTATGGTCCCAGCTGCCTTGAGATCATTGACAATATCCTCCCGTGTAGTTCTGGGCTGATTCCTCACCGTTCTCATGATCATTGCAACTCCACGAGGTGAGATCTTGCATGGAGCCCCAGGCCGAGGGAGATTGACAGTTATTTTGTATTTCTTCCATTTGCGAATAATCGCACCAACTGTTGTCACCTTCTCACCAAGCTGCTTGGCGATGGTCTTATAGCCCATTCCAGCCTTGTGTAAGTCTACAATCTTGTCCCTGACATCCTTGGAGAGCTCTTTGGTCTTGGCCATGGTGGAGAGTTTGGAATCTGATTGATTGACTGCTTCTGTGGACAGGTGTCTTTTATACAGGTAACAAGCTGAGATTAGGAGCACTCCCTTTAAGAGTGTGCTCCTAATCTCAGCTCGTTACCTGTATAAAAGACACCTGGGAGCCAGAAATCTTTCTGATTGAGAGGGGGTCAAATACTTATTTCCCTCATTAAAATGCAAATCAATTTCTAACATTTGACATGCGTTTTTCTGGAGTGGTCTCTGCAGCAGGGAGGAGAGGGAGACAACGGGTGCTAGTCACACAGTCACTCGCTGTCTGAGCCCGGCCCGGCACAATCAAATAAATTGCTGATCGGACTCCCTCTAGTCGTGTGTCTTAATTATTTAATCAAACAGTGTGCTTAAAGCAGCAGACAAGCTCAGTGCATATAGCTGATTTGATTAAAACCCATAGGATGTGTCTATCGACCGATCCATTGGTCGAAAGAACAGACGACTCTTGGTCGAACAACATATATCATTTCTTATGTCGGGGACAACCCTAAAGCCTTTCCTAATATTAACACTGTAGTTTTATGCGGGGAACTTGTATATGTCACATGCTTCGTAGACAACAGGTGTAGACCAACAGTGAAATGCTTACTTACGGGCCCAAAATGTCACATTTTCTTGTAGAATAAAGAAGTGGCCTGTCAAAGGTGCAAGCATAGAAGACACAGAAATGTACCCTAGGTTGATAGAACTAGAAAAACAGCCCCGCCAATCAAAAGGAAATTCAGAAAAATTAAACCACATCTTCAACACAGCAAAGAACATTCAGACTTAGTTAAGGGACATTTAATTTAGACTGTGATTAAGTCTTTCAAGCGGAGAAACAAATGTTCCTTGAGATTTCATTAACACCGAGGTTCTTCATGTGGTATTTTCATCATGGTCCATATGGAGCCATAGTGTGTCTCTCCAGGCTTCTCTTGTCGAGCCCTCTCTAGCAGACCTTCACACTTCTCCAGTTGCCTGCGCCAACCAGGCAAACAGATGGTTTTGTGATCTGCTATGCAGCTTGCCAGCGGCTTGGTTTGCAGTACCTCTAAGTGTTTACTTATTTTGTGTAGAATAAATTAATTTTCCATCTCAAGGAGAGTTGGGAGTGTTAATATCAAGCACCACCTGGTCCCATTGATACATGAAGGAATCCACTAAGAGAATATTGGCTAATCAATCAAAGAATTCACCCTGCTTTTAACTGTGTAAGTGGTCTCAATGTGTCTGTTTGACAGATAAGTGAAATGATATCCCCTTCAACTTAACGATTTATCCATGTAGTCTCTCTCCTCTATGCCTCCTAGAAGTGGTACAATCTGGGGTAAAATGTCTGGATAATCCATATCTGGGGTATAATTTCTGGATGTAATATAAGCCTGTGCCACTGGTTGTAAATGTCAAAGAGGCAGTACTAGTACATCTAATTAACTGTAGCCTAAAAAAATACATTTAGCTGCATATGTAATATTACAATTTTCATATCCTCAAGTCACTTCCGTTCTATCACAAACAGTGCAGCAGTTTGTAGTTATCGGTAGTTGTCACAGAAAACATGAACTGATTTTGTGAACCATGTAGAAAAACCCAACAACTCATATGATCAGAAAGTAGAAACTTTGACAGATGTAATTCACTGACTACGTAGGCTATAGGGTGTCAATCAATGAATACAGTGTATAATCTACTGGTGATGATGATCCATTGTATCAATGATCTCAACCTTCAGTGTCATTGTATCAGCAGTGACTGTCAATGTCTGGCCAACCTGCAACTTCTTATAATTAATGCGGAAGAATTACATCAGATTAGTTCACTGCACCGCTACATTTGACAAGTAGGTTTCAAACTCGTGGGAAAAAGTCAGTATCTGAGGATAGACTACATTTCTGAAGTTATTTGCAGCACATCTGTTTCCAATCAAAATTTAGAAAACGTTGCACAAATTCACTGATAGCCTACATCACCCGTTGCAAAGCACTGATGTTAATGAACGTGTAATCTCGGTTGTAAAATCCACGAGATTAATGCACATGGGAAATGAGGCTATAAACTAACAAACAGTTTTGTTTGATCGATTTAAAAAGTGATCAACACGCCTGTGTTGTGCCAGGAATCGGTGCGACAATGGCAGCTACAATAACAAAACTCCACTCGGTTCGCTAATTAACTTCCTAGATGATTTCACAACAAATATGAATAAATACATTTTTCTTGCAAATTCCGCCACACACCTTGCTGTGTCTGCAACCCATGCTTGCCCCGCGTCCACTCGTCAACCCTACCAGTCCTTGTCTAGAGTTACAAACTCTTCTGAACAACGCGCCTCGCTGGGCTGGGCTGTGGTGTGGTGTGGTCGGGTCTCTCAAGAGGTCTGTGCCGCTCTCTCACTCACAACAACTCGCTCAACTCGACCAGATGGGCAGTTATTTTTCAAAATCAAAAACACTGATCTTAAAACAATCTGGACCGACCTAAATATCCACGTTCTAGAAGGGGAAACACTGAAGATCAGTGGATTGCGCATCCTGTGTCGCAAAATTGAGGCTTGTGGGTGTTTCTAGTCTATTGATTTGACATTTTACCGTAATACACCGAAGACACGACCCATCAGACAATACAATGATTTACAAAACAAATATTAGGTTATCTAATCATGGGTTTCATACATGGAAAATGTTTCCTATTGCCTTGGCTATTTAATCATAGCAGGCCTATAATGTGCCCCAGAATATTGAATTCTCACTGTAATAAGATACAAATAAAGAATTGTATGGGTTGATCTGAATCTGCGATTTTGTTTATAATACATGTTGGGGAACAGTCCATGTGAAAACACACAAAAAAGTCAATGGAAATGTAAAAGACACACAGTAGAGCCATCATCCATCCATCCATCCAGGGAGGGAGGGCTGTCAGAAGGACATGGGACATGGACCTTCATGTTTTTACTTTACAGACTAATTCCTTCTCTGAGGAGGAGGCCATGTTTATTTTATTTATTTATTTCACCTTTATTTAACCAGGTAAGCCAGTTGAGAACAAGTTCTCATTTACAACTGCGACCTGGACAAGATAAAGCAAAGCAGTGCAGGAAAAAAACAACAGAGTTACATATGGAATAAACAAAACATAAAGTCAAAAATACAACAGAAAATATATATACAGTGTGTGCAAATGTAGCAAGTTATGGAGGTAAGGCAATAAATAGGCCATAGTGAAAAATAATTACAATTTAGTATTAACACTGGAATGATAGATGTGCAAAAGATGATGTGCAATTGAGCAAAATAAATAACAATATGGGATGAGGTAGTTGGGCGGGCTAATTACAGATGGGCTGTGTACAGGTGCAGTGATCGGTAAGGTGCTCTGACAACTGATGCTT